GACGAGTGGGCCATGTCGGTGGTGAGAAGCTGATACCACAATTTCAAGACCTTGAAGGATGACTACTGACATCACAGCTGTGAGATCTCTCTGAGCCTCGCTTATTTCATCTGTGAAATGGGACGATGGTAGATTTGAACTCTCTGTATAAACTTCTCAGTGAATGCAAGTGTTGGATAATGCGATGAGCAGGGCCATGGCTTTTGGCAGGTGGTCTCAGGATTTTGGATTGCCAACCCTCACCCCCAGGGGCCAAACTCATGCCAGGATGCTCGAGGGCAACTTCAAAATCACCAGCAGGGGGTCCAAGCAGCCTGGAAGCAGGCAGCCTCATGGAAAGGTCCTTGCCACTCTTATCCTTTCTTTGGTAAAGTGTCACTGAGCTTCTGCCCTTGTTCATGCACCTGTATGAACAAGACCCAGTGAGCAGGGTAGACAAGGCCTCTGACCCCAGTGTTCTGGTGGGAGGGTGCTGCAGGGGGGCAGGAAGCAAAGGTCTCCCTGTTTTCATAGCTGATTCATCTCCCGACAACTCTGGAGCAACCCAGGGTTTCATGGGCTCTATCACTCATTGGCTATGCAACCGTGGGCAGGTTACCTAACCCCTCTGTGCCTCAGCTTTCTCATCTGTGAAACGGTAAAGTATCAAACACACAGGGTTGTTTTTAGAATTAAAGAATTCCTGGCAGTCAGGTGCTTAGAGCAGGTCCTGGCCCTCAGTAGGTATTAGTGGTTATTTTTCAAGGAGCTGATCTGATGGTTCAGAGCCATCCCCCTACAGACCTCGCCTGGGTCCTGGTGGAGACCCAGCCCTTCTGGGAATGACAGAGGGCTGAGTACTAAGCTCCATGGCCAGGCCCCCGGGAGGAACCCCAGTGCCCTGTTTTTGGCTAGAACAGAGTGTGGCTGAATAATGAGCATGGGATTTGGAGTAAGGCAGACCTGGGGTGGCATCCCAGCCTCTCTACCTTGTAGCTACGTGATCCTACATGATCACTTTCTGCCCCCCTGCAGCACCCTCCATGAGGTCTCACAGGGGGAGGTATATAGGGGAATGGAAGTGTAGAGAGTGGGCAGGCCAGGTTTAAGGGTTTAAGGGTGTTTTGAAGGGAACTGAGAGTCTTTGAACTTTGGCATGAAGGTGAGTTTCCTTGAACATTGTGAGCCTATTTTGTCCCCTGTAAAATGCGGTTGTTGTCAGGATCAGTGAAGTGATGTGTAGAAAGCATCTAGTCCAGTGCTTGGTCTACACAGAGCAGGGGCTCTATACACATGGCCTGTCCCTTACATCCCAGCTCCAGCAAAGCCACAGGGCACCTGGGACAGCCCCGGTGGGCAGCCTTGCCTTCCTGTGCCCCGTGCCCTGTGCCCTGCACTCAGAGTGGGGCTGGGCCCCAGTCCTAGGCAGATACTGTGGCTTTGAGGCTTGCTTCGGCAACCCTGTATTCCAGACAAGCCCTAGACGGGGCTTCTCTTGTAAATATTGATGGAGGCCCCAGACAGAGAGGAACAGGAAAACAAAAGACGGTTTATTTATGAAGGAAAAAGAAACCAACAGTGGGAAAAACAAATCTACAGGCCCGACAGGACGGGGGACTGTTTAAATAAACCGTGGTACAGCCATTCGGTGGAACATTGTGCACCTTTTGAAATGATGTTTGCCGAGGGTTTGTAGCAACACAGAAAATATGTATTCTGAAAAGCTAAGTGAAAAAAGGAAGCTGCTGGATTGTGCATTCAGCATAATCACACGTTGGCAAAAATCAAGCCAAAGAAAAGGTGCACAGGCTGGAGGGATGTGCATTGTAGAGGGGGTTGTCTTTGGGTGGTGGAAAGGGGGAGTTTTTTTGTACTTTTGTATTTTCCAATTTTCTTTCCTACAAAGCTGTGGTTGGCCTCACGTGGAAAGCTACCCAAGCTGAAGAGTTGTTTTTTAGTTTTGTTTTAAAGAAGAAATTCTTCACGGGGAAGCAGGACAGATGACCCAGGGAGAGGCCAAGGGACACACAGGCCTCCGTGAGGCTGAGGGCTCGAGGTGGCCGGGCAAGGCTATCCCACAGGGTCAAGTGGAAATCCTAGACTCTGATCCCTGTGGAGGATCACGGGCAGGCTGACACCCAGACACACACTCAGGCACGGTGGCGGTGTGCGATCTGGACTCTCCCCTTAAATGCGTGCACTCTGCTTCTCTCTGGGGGATGTAGCTTACCGTCGTGCAAGGAGCCTCTTTCCTAAACGCTCCCTTACGTGAATGGCTAGAACACGATAGTTGGGTTCCCATCCTCTTCACTCCGAGGTGGAGCTCCTTGCAGGCAGCCCTGCCCTCTCCGGCCAGGGTGACGAAGCCCCCGCTGATGGCAGGGCCAGGCTTCCCGTGCCCTGAGCCAGCCCTGGTCCATGCATTTCCCGGATTTCCATCCAGGGCTCTGCTCACTGTCTCTTTATCAGGGAGGCTGATCACACGATAATACTTCTTTGCCTCCTCTGCCTTCCTGTACGTATGCAGCATGGGTCCCATTCATTTGTTTATGCATTTGTTGATAGACATTGCCTGTTTTCCTCCAGCAGAACGTGCGCTCTGTTAGGGCAGGGACCTGCCGCATTCCCAGCACCCGGAACAGTGCCCAGCCTGAACGTTCTGTGAATGAATCCAGGTGGTCTTTGCAGGCTCCCTGAACTGCCTTGCTCTACCATGATGGTCCTGACCACTCACTTCCCTAGCTAGCTCTGGAGACCCAGGCCAGTGATGAGAAACACGCCAGCTCTCATCTATCAGTGGTGACTGCCTAGGGCCCGGTGTTCTGGGTTCTGAGGCTCAATGGGAAAAGATAAGGTGATCGATGAGTGATGTCTGCACAGGACCCCAGGGATGTAGATGAGATGGGCCCCGTACTACCCTCTCAGCCCTCCCTCCATCATGACGAGATCTCCCACCGTCAGTGGGTCAGGAACAAACTCTGCGGTTTCCCTGGTCCTGACCATGGGACCATGCCCCAGGCAACGGGGCTCTGACAAGTTTTCTGGAGTGATCTCTAGGTCACCCTGGGCTTGGAGCCCTCCCTCAAGGCCTCCCTGCTTGGTTGTGGTCTAGTCCATTGCCTGGCTATTTGCTGGAGGCTTGCCCTTGGCGGCTGGATCTGGCTCCATCTGCCCCCAGCTCCCAGATGGGGTTCACCTTCCAAGCAACCCCCAGCCTGGCATCCTGATGCCCATGCCGCCTCTCAGTCATGCTGAGTTACCCCCACTTCCCCACCAAGGGTCCCTAGGAGGCTCATGTCTGAGTGTTGGCTCTGAGCTTGAGCATGGCCTTGGCAGGGGATGGGGGTTGGTCACTAGGCTCCAACTTAGGAATCAACTAGGCAGCCTTACCTTCCAGGTGAGGATGGTGGGGACGTGGCTTTGAGGGGCCCAATGGAAGTTCTCATCTCCATGCCAACCTCCCTGTTATTTCTTGTTCTAATTGTGCATTTTCCAGGAAGACCCTGGCTCAGCCCCAGCAGCTGCAGTGAACATGAGCTCCTGTCCAGACCCCCAGGGGAATTTGGGAAGGACTTTCTCCAGGTGTTCTCATTTCTCTGGCAGAGAAGGCCATGAAATGTCCTTCCCATTTTCAAGGTAGGAACGCTGAAATCCAAAGCATCCTTAGCTCCCCACTTGTCAGGCCTGCCCTGGTGCACCCGCATCTCTACTTCTTTCCTCCAGGCTGCCTGTCACTTTAGAAGTGGTCCCAGCTGCCCTGGCTTCCGGCTGACACCGGGAACATCGCTGCCCTCCTATCTGTGTATGCGTCCTCCTCAGCGAGAGAACAGGGCTGTGGCAATAGATGGGACCGGTCTCTCTTCCTCCCCTCCGGGAAGAATGGGCAACGTCCTGATGTTGGAGGGTCTCTGCCCTTTCCGAATTTACCAACTCTGATGTGAGAGCCGGTCCCAGTGTCCTGTGTGATTTTCCAGTTCCTCAGCTCCGTCACGAACCTGCCCCTCCCTCCTCTCCTGTCTGACCGGGCAGACCAGGTGACCACAGGGCACAGGGAGGAGAAATTATGCCAACGTCTCTCAGCAGCCCGGGAGGGGTGCCTGGCAGTGTCTGCCCCTGCTCCCCGAGGTGAGGGCTGTGTTGTTCGGACGGCTGCTGTATTCTGCAGGCTCCGAGCTCTGGGGAGGGAGTCAGTGGTCAGGAAGAGGAGGATGGGCCCACGCGGGGGAGCCCGGGAGGACGGGCGCCGACAGATCGCACCTACTCCTCTCTCTCCTGAGACCTCAGATGTGGGATCACTGGGGCTCTTCTTTGTGGACCACTACAGGATGTATGTTTTCAAATGGCTGCTAATTGGAGGCTTCTCCTCCTAGTATCCGAGAATTCTAGGTAATGAGAACAAGTGAGGTGGGTCAATTTGCTCTGCAGGCAAGAGTCCCAGGGGCAGCACCAACTGTCGCTGATCTACTTCTCCAACCATCTCTCCTCTGGCCGGGCCCCTGGGGGCTCCCCAGGGCTCTTGGCACGGCCGGAACCACCTCCTTGTGTGTCCCCGGTGCTTCTGGGAACCCTGGAGGTAAGGGCTCGTGGCCAGTGTTTAGGACGGGGCCCCGGTGGCCTATAGAGAGCTGGCCCACCTCCAGCGGGGTTGGCTTGAGGGGTTATTGGGGGTCAACCGGCACCGGGACCTGTGGTTGGGATGAGGCTGCGCCCCCGAACTTTGGCGGGACCCTGACGTCCCTTCCGCCAAGAGTTCGGATTTGAAGCAAGGCGGCACCCGTCGCTGCACACGTGTGTGGCTGCCCCCAGCCTCAGAGCAGCGGTCCCTGGTTCTCTCTCTGCATCCCCCTGACAGCAAAGACGCATCCGAGGGCCCCGGCCAGCGGGGGGGGTAGGGTTAGAATTCACCTCTCGCTGGCCAAATGCCTGAGCGGCCTGCTCTCCTAGAAATGGCTCACGGAGTGGCGGGCAGGGGGTGCCTTCTGCTTCCCGGTTTTGCAGGAGAAGTCCGGCGGAGCGGGTAGCTAGACCCTGGTCTGGGGCACATCGGGGACGGGCAGGGTCAGGACGGTGGGCAGGAGGGTGCCCCGCGGGGAGGGGAAGCTCCGCAGCTCCTTGGGCACAAACCTGGGCGAGATGGGGTCGGCCAGGAAGCAGAGCGTGCGCCGGCGGCCCACGCAGTAGATGAGGTCCCCCAGCACGGCGCACCGGAAGGCGTCGGGGCAAGGCGTCCGCTGCGTGGCACACTCATACCAGAGGCGGGCGCTGGCCCTACAGCGCCACACGGCGATGCCCAGGCTGCGACGGAGGTCAAACCGGTAGAGAAAGCCGTTGACCGCCGCCATCTCGGCCGTGCGGTCCTTGCCGCCCCCCGCGGGCCCGGCCTGCCAGCGCTGCTCCCGGACGGAGAATCGGAGGAGCAGGCAGCGCAGGGTGCCGCCCGTGACGAAGATCTCACCGGCGCACGCCGTGGCCGTGTGTGCCAGCGCGAACGTGTCGCTGGGGAGCGGTGGGACGAAGGTCCAGCGGTCCAGGCGGGGGTCATAGCATTCCACCGTGGTCAGACACTCGCCCCCAATGGCGTACAGGTGGCCGTCCAGGGCCACCAGCCGGCAGTGCGGCCGGGGCTGGTTCAGCGGGCACACCTCGCTCCAGATCCCCGTCAGCGGGTTGTAGCAGAAGACGCGGTTGGAGGGCTGGCGCCCAGACCCCCGGCAGCCGGACACCACGAAGAGGTAGTTGAAGAGACTGCAGAGGGCACAGCCTCGGGACACAGCCTCGGGGGGCAGACGGACCAGCGGGTGCCAGGCGTCCCTCTCCTCGTCATAGCGACAGAGGCGGCCGGAGCCCTCCTGGGGGCACACATCGGCCACCACCAGGTGCTTGCGGCCCCGCAGCCGGCGCCGGAGGATCAGCTCCCGCTCGGTCCCGCTCAGGCACCCGTAGACGTCTGGGCTGCGCAGCACCTGAAGATAGTTGTCACTCATCACCTTGTAGGCTGCCTCCTGCAGCGCCCCCAGCTTGTGCCTCTTGGCCAAGGTCAGTACCTGGTAGCAGTTGCCCAGATCCAGGTGGACGCCCGGGGCGGAGCCAGGGGCCGGCGGGAGGTGGACGAAATTGGTCCCTGCCACCAGCTGCACATGGGGCTCCCCGCTGCTTCCGGCTGAGCTGGCCCCGAGAGGAGCCCCGGGGAGGGGGCGGCCAGGCAGGGCACTCCCGTCTGGGCAGGACGGAGTGGGGGCCCCAAAGCCATCGAGCTGCAGCTGGAGCTCTGGGTTCTCCAGGATCTGGAGGAGGCTGTCCTTCCTGCTGAAGCCTTGCGTGGAGGGCGTCGGCACAGGCTGGGGGCAGGTGGGTGTCTCGGTTCCACCTTCCTGGTCAGCGGCTTGGCCTCCTGAAGCTGTCTCTGTTCCCGGGGGTCCTGGTGGTGGCACGGGGGCCGGACACTCAGCCAGGGCAGCTGTTCTGGGGGCCAGCCTGCCCTTGGAGGTGGCCCGGGAGGTGGATTCCACATAGTAATCGTACACCTTGCCCTTCAGCCTGGGCCCGGCCCCCTCCCCCTTGTCCTGTAGGAAATTCTCCTCCACACGAACCCAGGCCACCGACGAGTAGGTGTAAGAGGTGCTGGAGGCTCCCTCCTGCTGAGGCAGGGTCAGGCCCATGTCCACGGTGGCCTGGAGGGCCCCGGCCTCTTCCCTGTGGACCCCCGTCACGCGGGTGAAGACCCAGCTCTTGCTCACGTCGCTCTTGCCTTCCACGTGGGCCATCCAGTTGGTGGGGGCAGCCTCCTGCTCCCGGGACCCTGGTTGCCCCGGGGGGCCACCGTCCAGCCACGGGGCAGGCTCGCCGCCCTCACTGCGGCCGGCTGCTGTGGCGAGACCAGCGTGGGAGCTCTGGGACTCGCTGCCCAAATGGGGGTGGTGGGGCCGCTCGGGCGTAGGGCCAGCAGCTGTCCCGGCTTCCCGGCCACCGCAGCCAGGAGGCGCCGGCTCAGAGTCCGGGTGCCGCCCACCCCCTTCCTCACCAGCGCCCTTCTCCGCGGGCTCCCGAGCTTCTTGGGCTTCTGAGTCTTTGGGAGAGCGTCCTGTTGCCAGGACTTGGGAGTCGCCCCGATTCTCCCAGCCACAGCCCGGCGCCTCTCTGGTCCCCTTGCTTCCCCTCCGGCGTCTCAGCGCCCAGTGCGGCGCCCCGGGAGTAGCCCCCTGGACCGCAGGCTGCCCGGAGCCCTCGGCCTCCTCATTGGCCTCGGCCTTGGCGTTCCTGTCCCCCCGTGGGGCCTGGCCAGGCCTCGACTTGTACAGCCTGTAGGCCACGGTCACCAGGAGCAGGGCAGCGGCAGACAGCACCACCTTGCCTGTCAGCTGCATGTCCAAATGCCAGTCCTGGGCCTCTCCTCCTCCTCTTCCGGGGAGCATGCTTCCCAAAGCCTCCCCGGGGCTGAAGAATGTCAAGAATCCGATTAATGATTGTCCAATAGGGGCCGGTTCCTGGTTCCTGCGGAGCGGAGCTGGAGAGGGTTCTGGGCTGGCTCTGGCCAGCCAGGGGCCGGTCAGCTGGGGGGAGTCGGAGCCAAGGTGACCTTGTGCTGGCAGATGGTGGCCACTGGGGCTCAGGGCCAGCAGATCTCGGCGCTGGCCTCCCTGGATCCTTCGATACTTTTCCTGGGGGTGAGGGTGGGGGTTGTGCCCCAGGGCTGAGCTTGTGATCAGCCACCTGAACCAGCAGCTGCTGGAGGATGTACACAAAGAGGGAGGAAGCTCTTGACCACACAGTCACCTGATGCCAGGAAACGCAAGGGGTTGGTTATTATATGTGTGTGTGTTTTATTTTCTCTTTTGCAAATCCACCGGGCTAGGAGTGTGGGTGTGGTGAACTGGGTGACAGGTGGAGCTGTGGCAGGTGTGGCTTGAGGGCCTCCCTGTCTGTTTCCTTCCCGATGGGGTCTGCTGGTCCCGACGGGGAGGTCTGCAATTAGCAGCAGGGACGGCTGAGCCCCGGACTGCAGCAAAGCCACCTGACTCGGCTTTGAATGCCTCTGCCCTCCCTCTGGCCCTCCTGAGGGCAGATGGGGAAAGCACTGGGCGTTAGTGCCCAGATCAGGGAGAGACGTGGGGCACATCCTTGCCCTCGAAAACAGACAACGTCCTCTGGTGAGAGGCCAAGGGAGATTCACCTGCCCCCATCTCACCAGTGCTGTGGTTTCCAGATCCAGACTGACTACCTGGCTCTGCCCCTTGCCAGCTGTGTGACCTTAGGCAAGTGACTTCCCCTCTCTGTGCCTGAGTTCCTTCATCTGTAAATGGGGGTAACAGCTCACGCACCTCATAAGGTTGTGGTTGGTGTGCGTACAGCCCACAGTGCTGAGCTCCATCTTGTGAAAGCTCACGAAGTATCAGCTGTTCTTCTTCATCTTCTCTTCCTCCTCCTCCTCAGAGTCATTATCATTCATATGAATCGTCACCAGCTGGACCTGAAGCACAGATTCACTTCTGCCCCTCCCCAGACCAAGGTCCTCCCAGGGCACCCAGAGGCCAGGGCAGGGCTGCCTTTGGGGCCAGCAGGTAAAGTGGCTAACGTGCCCAGCAGGCGGTCCCTGCACTGCCTGATCCCCCTGTGTCGGAGACTCTGATCCCCTGGCCCGAATGGGGCCGAGCACAGCGGGGACAACTACCAGCATGTTCTGTGCCTTTCCAGGGGTAGAATGGAGGGGGGCACTCTGGATGGATCTCGTCTGATGCCCACCATCCCGTTCGGGAGAGATGCAATCGTCACCTCCCATTTTATGGCAGCTCCAGGCTCATGTCAGTTGGCTTGTAACTGGGGCCTTGTATCCCTGTTTCCAGAGTCCAGAGTTTTGCAGACCTGACTTCACCCACCAGGTACGGTTCCCTGGGACACAGCCCTCCGCAGCCTGTTCCGGGGGCGACCGGCAGCAGGTTCCCTCCTTTTCTTTCCCTCATGGTCAAGATAGTGATTCTGAAGATAATGGGCACCGGAGCCCTGGGGTGCTTGTCAGAAATGCACACTTCCAAGCTCTGCTCCTCAGACTTTCTTTTTTTAAAATTTTTTTCTCTCTATTTTTTTATTATGTTATGTTAATCCCCATACATTACATCATTAGTTTTTGATGTAGTGTTCCATGATTCATTGTTTGCATATAACACCCAGTGCTCCATGCAGAACGCGTGCTCTCTTTAATACCCACCACCAGGCCAACCCATCCTCCCACCCCCCTCCTCTCTAGAACCCTCAGTTTGTTTTTCAGAGTCCATCGTCTCTCATGGTTTGTCTCCCCCTCCGATTTCCCCCCCTTCATTCTTCCCCTCTCTGCTCCTCAGACTTTCTGATTCAGTAAGTTTGGGGTATCTCCCAGGAAATCCCCAGGTTTGACAATCACCTTGGAGACTTCCGTGGGTCTAGGAATTAAAAAGTAAGTGAGCTTTGCTATTTGTCTGCTGAGAATTCCTTTTCACGCTCAGGAGGTGGGTGAGCACCTTGTTTCATCAGGACGAGTAACAGGAAATGGGGAGTGAGGTCCTGGGTACTTTGCGTAAGTAAAATCATTTCATCTTCCTGGTAATCTGGGGAGGTAGGTGCTGTCATCACCCTCATTCTACAGGTGAGGACACAGGCTCAGAGGGATCCGCCAATGTCACGTAGATCGTGAATGGCAGAGTCTTGATGTATGACCAGGTCTCTCTGGCTGCATGGATCATTCCTCTTCCTCTGGGAAGGGGAGGACGAGGTATAAAGGGATAAAGGGTAATAGAAGTGATTTGTCCAATGGTGAATCCAGGCCTTTGGGGGTCCCCTGCTGGCCAAGTTACCATTTCGGTGGTAGGGGCAGCTTTGGGACTCCCACACCCTTGGAAAGGGGAAGACTTATGGCGTGCCCCTTTGGTGACAATGCTGTGACCTGGCATTGTCCTCTCAGATGCCACCGAGTGAGCAGGGTGTCAGCCCCTTGGGCATGCTGCTCCCCACGCAGTAAAGACTCTACTGTGCCAGGAGCCACTTTCTCTGTGGCTCCAGCGTAAACCCTTTGAGTCAGACAATCACTCTTTCCCTTTGGAAACTTGCTCCCAGGCACTGCATGTGGCCAAACCAGTCCCCTGGGGTGGCAGGGCCATGGTGGGGGGGGTGGCGTCTGGGAGCAGAAAACACAGAGTCCCAGCCCTGAGGGAACCTACATCCTGATCCATAAGATGGTGCATGCACCCGAGATATGATCAAGCCACAAGGGATCACGGAGGAAAAATTAATGAGGTGACTTGTCAACAGGTACTTATTGACAAAGTACCACGGGCCAGTGGACGGCCAGGGAGACTAGAGCAAGGGGCATCAGAAGAGAGGTCAAAAGAGTATTCCAGAAAGAGGTGTTTAGCAACGACTATTGATAAAGGAAGGAGGGGGGTGTAGGCGGATTAACTGAACAAATATTCACCAGATGCTCACCATGTACCACGCCCCTTGCTGGGGCAGCGACATATATTACAGAGACACACATGGCCCTGGCACCTTGGCAGACTGCCACCTCGGGAAGACGCTGCTGAGCAGGAGGTTGGTGGGGAGTGATGATGCTCGTTGGCGAGGGTTTCCGTGGGAGAGCGCACGGGGGTAGCGCAGAGCGTGGATGTGGCCAGAACAGGGAAGGCCAAGAGGAGAGAAATTGCGGGTCTGAGGACATGGAAGCCTGACAGGCATGACGGTGTCTGGACATCTCCAGATTGGGGCTTGGGGCAGGTGCAGGCAATGTATGTGGGGGTGTGTGTGAGTTAGATGGCACTGATTTGACTCCTGGTGTGGCATTTCCTGCGACGCTCCCTTGTGGGAGGGCCGGAGTAACACCTGCCGAACAGCCCAGCCCAGAGGAGCCCCCATTCAATGAGGCTTCCCGCTGTGCACCCTCTATTCTGTGAGACACCTGTCATAGAAAAGAGAGTTGTTACTCACAGTTCCCAAGAGGGTCCCCCACGCCACACCATGCAGGGCCTCATGGGGAGGCACTGGGGTCAAGAAAGAGGCAGATGGAGCCAGAGGACAGAATGGGAGTGTGATTGTGGTTTTTCATGGGAAGGAGTGGGCGAGGCAAGGTGAATAGATTTAGGATCAGCTAGTTTGAATAATTTCAGGGGGCCCCAGCACTGTCTTTCTTTGTCTCCTACCTGGTCCTGGAGTCATTGGGACGGGAGTATTGGCCCTGGTGTAGGAGAGCCTCAGGAGAGTCGGATAAAGCAGGTGGTGTGGCTCCGCTTTGGATGGGTTCATTTGCATATGAAAGGGGGCGCTCCTGGGTGAGTAATTTCCTGCCTCTAGGAACTAGCTAATCCTGGGAGTTCACTGTGGCCGGTCCACCATACAGAAAATCAGAGGATATAGCTACTAGACAGAAGCCCGGAAGACAAAAGAACAAGGACTTTGGGGCCTCTAAGAGGAGGCAAGCACCCCTGCAGGGCGGTTGGGAGTGAGCTTCCGGCTCTCTCCTGAGGTCTGATCCCATCCTGCCGGTGAAGGCCACCCTCCCACTAGCAGGCTTCAAGCTCCAGAAATTACAGCTCCCCACCCCCGCCCCCTTCCCAGTCTGTCTGGAAAAAGTGAAATGAACAAATGAAGACAGGAGCGAAATTAAAAGATAATTGGAAGTCTGTATCGGGCTTCGGTGAGGGTGCGTGCGCGCCACCAATCTGGCCTCTTGGTGCCAGCAGGACCAATTGAGAAGTCTGGGGTTGGCTCAGGGGGTGGATAAAACAGTCGGAGCTGAATGCGTGCCATGCAAATAAACAGGCCCATCTTCCAGTGATTGGCTTTGAATTCAGTGGTGCCGGTCCCTCCTCTGGTCTGCTCAGCGCTAAGGGTCTGTGTTTCCCAAGGTGGGCGCCCACTCCAGGTGAGGCCCTGAGTGGGGGGCCCGAGGCCGGGAGGAGGTGGGTGCAGGTATCTCGGTGTCTGTGCAGAGAGGGAGACAGGGAGGACTATGGCTTCTTACACACACACACACGCACACGCACCCCATGTGCACACGCGCACACGCAGGAGGGAGAGGGCAGCGCTTCTGAGTCCGAAGTGTCAGTGATTAAAGGACCTGGTCTGACTGATGCAGAGGCCAAGGCCTAGGGAGGGAAAGTCTGTGTAGCTGGGACTAGAACACAAGACATCTAACTGGGCCCCCGGGGGTGGGGGGAGGAGGAGGTCAAGGACAGATTCCTACTCATCCAGAGGGCACGCAGTAAGTATTTGGTGGTGAAGTGGTGGTTCTTTACACTTACCCAGGGGCTTTCCTGAACAACCTCTCCTTGACACATGATGGGTTTCGTTATGCTCAGCACCCCCAGGCTGCACCCCCGGCTGGCGTGTACCGCCCCGTCTGCATGGGTCATTAAAGGCTGAAATATTTCCATTCCGGCTGGGGAAGAGC